TGTGGATTATGTTCTTTTGATCCATAATGAAAAATTATTACTAACAAAAGTTCTTTCTAACTATTTTCAAATTCGAGTTGTAATCGATCTTCCAATAAAATGTGTTCATTTGGAGATTCTAACAATTTTGAAATCTCACCCAGATAATGGTTATAGATAGATACGAATTAATTATGGATTATGTCCTGTTGGTGCATTATGAAGAATTATTGCTAACAACATTTCTTTGTAACTATTTTGGAATTCGAGTTAAAATCGAATCTTGCAACAGAGTTGGTCGATTTTGAGATTCTAGCAATTTTGACTTTCCACCTAGATAATGGTTATAGATAGATACGAACAAATTATAGATTATGTTCTTTTGAACCATAATGAAGAATTATTACTAACAAAATTTCTATCTAACTATTTTGAAATTCGAGTTATAGTTGATTTTGCAATAAAATTTGTCAATTTTGAGATTCTAGTGATTTTTACATCCCACCTACATAATGGTTATAGATAGATACGAACTAATTACAGATTATGTCCTTTTGGAGCATTATGAGAAGGTATTATATACAAAATTTTTCGTCAACTATTTTAGTGACCGAGTTATAACTCGTTTTACTAACAAAAATTGTTAATGTTAAGATTTTGGCGATTTTNTTATTTATGGATTATATTCTTTTGAACCATAATGAAGAATTATTACCAACAAAATTGCTTTGTAACTATTTTCGAATTCGAGTTATAATTGATCTTGCAATAAAATGTGTTAATTTTGAGATTCTAGCAATTTTGACTTTCCACCTAGATAATGGTGATAGATAGATACGAACTAATTATAGATTATGTCCTTTTGATGCATAATGAAGAATTATTACTAACAAAATTTCTTTCTAACTATTTCCATATTCGAGTTATAATTGATCTTCCAATAAAATGTGTTAATTTTGAAATTCTAGCAATTTTGACACCTCACCTAGATAATGATTCCAGATAGATACGAACTGATTATGGATTATGTCCTTTTAATGCACAACGAAGAATTATTACTAACAAAATTTCTTTCTAACTATTATAGAAATCGAGTTATAATCGAATCTTGCAACAAAATTGGTCGATTTTGAGATTCTAGCAATTTTGACTTTCCACCTAGATAATGGTGATAGATAGATACGAACTAATTATAGATTATGTCCTTTTGATGCATAATGAAGAATTATTACTAACAAAATTTCTTTGTAACTATTTCCAAATTCGAGTTATAATTGATCTTCCAATAAAATGTATTAATTTTAAAATTCTGGCAATTTTGACTTCCCACCTAGATAATGGTTACAGATACATACGAGCTAATTATGGATTATGTCGTTTTGATGCACAATACAAAATTATTACTAACAAAATTTCTTTCTAACTATTTTCAAATTCGAGTTATAATTGATCTTGCAATAAAATATGTTAATTTTGAAATTCTAGCAATTCTGACACCTCACCTAGATAATGATTCCAGATAGATACGAACTAATTATGGATTATGTCCTTTTAATGCACAATGAAGAATTATTACTAACATATTTCTTTCTAACTATTATTGAATTCGAGTTATAGTCGAATCTTGCATCAAAATCGGTTGATTTTGAGTTTCTAGCAATTTAGACTTTCCACCTAGATAATGGTGATCGATAGATACGAACTAATTAGGGATCATGTCCATTTGGTGCATGATGAAGAATTATTGCTATCAAAATTTCTTTGTAACTATTTCCAAATTCGAGTTATAACTGATCTTCCAATAAAATGTGTTAATTTTGAAATTATAGCAATTTTGACTTCCCACCTAGATAATGGTTATAGATAGATATGAACTAATTATAGATTATGTTCTTTTGAACCATAATGAAGAATTATTAACAACAAAATTTCTTTCTAACTATTATGGAATACGAGTTATAATCAAATCTTGTAACAAAATTGGTCGATTTTGAGATTCTAGTAATTTTGCCTTCTCACCTAGATAATGGTTATAGATAAAAACGAACTAATTGTGGATTATGTTCTTTTGATCCATAATGAAAAATTATCACTAACAAAAGTTCTTTCTAACTATTTTCAAATTCGAGTTATAATTTGATTAATTGATTAATTGATGCTGCAATAAAATGTATTAATTTGGAGATTCTAGCAATTTTGAAATCTCACCTAGATAATGGTTATAGATAGATAGGAATTAATTATGGATTATGTCCTTTTGGTGCATTATGAAGAATTATTGCCAACAAAATTTCTTTCTAACTATTTCCAAATTCGAGTTAAAATTGATCTTCCAATAAAATGTGTTAATTTCGAAATTCTAGCAATCTTGGTTATAGACAGATATGAACTAATTATGGATTATATTCTTGTGAACCATAATGAAGAAGTATAACCAACAAAATTTCTTTCTAACCATTATGGAATTCAAGTTATAAACTAATCTTGTAACAAAATTGGTCGATTTTGAGGTTCTAGCAATTTTGACTTCCCACCTAGATAATGGTTATTGATAGATACGAACTAATTATGGATTATGTCCTTTTGATGCACATCGAAGAATTACTACTAACACAATTTCTTTCTAACTATTATGGAATTCCAGTTATAATCGAATCTTGCAATAGAATTGGTCAATTTTGAGATTCTAGCATTTTTGACTTCCTATCTAGATAATGGTGATAGATAGATACGAACTAATTATGGATCATGTTCTTTTGAACCATAATGAAGAATTACTACTATCAAAATTTCTCTGTAACTATTTCTAAATTCGAGTTATAATTGATCTTGCAATAAAATCTCTCAATTTTGAAATTCTAGCAATTTTGACTTCCCACCTAGATAATGGTTATAAATAGATATGAACTAATTATGGATTATGTTCTTTTGAACCATACTGAAGAATTAGTACCAACAAAATTTCTTTCTAACTATTATTGAATTCGAGTTATAATCGAATCTAGCAACAAAATTGGTCGATTTTGAGATTCTAACAATTTTGACTTTCCACGTAGATAATGATGATAGGTAGATACGAACTAATTGTGGATTATGTTCTTTTGATCCATAATGAAAAAGTATTACTAACAAACGTTCTTTCTAACTATTTTCAAATTCGAGTTATAATTGATGTTGCAATAAAATGTGTTAATTTGGAGATTCTAGCAATTTTGAAATCTCACCTAGATAATGGTTATAGATAGATACGAATTAATTATGGATTATGTCCTTTTGGTGCATTATGAAGAGGTATTATATACAAAATTTTTCGTCAACTATTTTAGTTATCGAGTTATAACTCGTTTTACTAACAAAAATTGTTAATGTTAAGATTTTGGCGATTTTTACTTCCCACCCACGAAATATTTATAATTAGCTATGAATTGGTTATGGATTATGTCTTCTTGGATCATATGAAGAATTATAATCAAACACATTTCAGTCTAGCTATTTTGAAATTCGAGATATAGTTGAATTTCATGAAATTCTGGTGACTGTACAAAGTTAATTAAAAAAAATCGTAACATCGAGATTTATAGGAACGAAGGAATTATTTTTGGTGTGCTAAAACTAGATTGAATTTGCTACAAAATGGTTGTTATTTCATATTAATATATCAAAAACTTTTTCGGATATGATTTTTCTAATTTGGTATCTATAAACATAACCTGTCATAAGTGAATCATCATGTCATAAGTTTGTAGGGATAAAATTGTTTTAATGTTATTAAATATTGATAAAATTTGCTTCAAAACGCTTTTAATTTTATGACGTGAATGCGTTTTCAAGATATCATTTTGTTATCAACAAGCTAATGAATAAACTCAATGAATACAGAGTTGATGAAAAATATAATATCATCTAAATTAATAGGAACAAAATAATTAAAAGATATGATTCTCAACACACTAATTAAATGTTCATTAAAGCGGTTCTTATTTCATGGTGATATCTCAATTCGTTCCTGAGATACGATTTTTTTCATTTTATTTTTATTAATATAAACTCAGCAACAACAGAGTTGAATGAAAAAAATCGTATCACCGGAATTAATAGAACGAAATTTTTTGGTGTATTAAAACTTTATTAAATTTATTACAGAATGTTATTAATTTCGTCTTAATATCTCAATTACTTTTAGAGATATGATTTTTCAAAAATAGATAAATATAGACGCGTAATAAATGATTTAAAAAAATCGTAACGTCATAATTTGTTTAAATAAATAAATGATTTTTTATACACTAAATATTAATTAAATTTGCTTTAAAATGGCACTTATTTCAAGATGATATCTCAATTGGTTCTTGAGATACGGTTGTTTAAATTTAATTTTTAACGATTTTAACGCAATTTTAATGCAAGGTTATTAAAAAAAGTGTATCATCGAGATTTATATGGATAAAGGAATTATTTTTGGTGTGCTAAAACTAGATAAAATTTGCTACAAAACGGTTGTTATTTCATCTTGATATCTCAACAACTTGGAGAGGTACGACTTTTTGAAATTAATAAATAAGTTAACCAACGATATTGACATCAATTAAACACAATTAACTTATTTATTTTCCTTCCAAGTATAGATAACTCAGTCTGCATCGGTAGATAACTTGTTCAAATACTTAGCGTATTAAAAATATATTACTACTACATACAATATGGTGTTATTGTTACATATTGTATTTTTACTTAAAAAGAATTATGAATATATATGGACAAATCTTTTATCAAATTTCGGAAATAAACAGAACACTTGTAAATTTATTGATAATGAATCGGAACACGAAGTGAACCAATATTAAATAAAGTAATTTTAGATATCCGCCTCAACACAAAATCATTTATCATTATTAATCAGATTTTTATTTTTGTTCTGGAGATAATAAGACCAATTCATTGAAATATTGAGTTATTTGTTCCGATGCGCAAATATGGTATTTATTGCATTTTTATATCAGCACAATTTCTATATATCGACCTGTTTTTCGTCACGAGTGCCATTATTCTTGACCGTTTGTACAAAGTGAAGCGTTTTTATTAGTGGCATTTCAAAATGATAATCACTATGAAAGCGGGTAAGAAGATTATAATCTTAATTAATTTGGGTTCATTTAATAATTAATAATAATTCTTTTTAGCCCTTATTGGGGGTGTAGCTATTTTAGCCATAGCTGGGATTACGGTTGGGATAGTTTTTGCAACGAAAGGGGGGGACGATGACCCAACTTGTACAGGTAATTTAATTAATTAAAAATTATTTTGAATCGAATCATTAATTTTAAACCATCCAGGATTTAGTAAACCAGTTGATTTGGCGATTAACGAAAGAGATGGGAAGCTTTTTGCGGTTTGGGGTAGCCCTGAGAATTTAGGAGATTGTGCACCGAAATATAATTTGACTTTAACCGTGAATGATGTCGTAGAAGATGCGGTTCAAGTTGATAAAAATGAATACGAGATTGCTTCGAAATATAATAAACCCTGCGTTAAAATTCATGTTGGAATAACAACGGTTGATGAAGATAACGTTGAAAGTGAGATTGAAGAAAAAAGTTATACTAAAGGTAAGAAACAAGTCTAGAATATAAACCTTTTAACCGATTTTGATAAACAATATCTCATTCGAAAGCTTAATCGTTTTTAAAAACTCCAAAAAGGTGCAAAACCACGATTTCATCTAATTTTCACCTATTTGAATTTTACTCGATATTTATGAATCTGAAAGCAAAACTATACAAATCAATATTGTTGAGAATAAATTTTGCTACAACTTTTATACTAAAACTGTTTTTCTAAAACAATACAATTTACTACAACTTTTGTAGAAAAACTTTTTTGCTAAAACGTTCCAAATCGCAGCTCCACCTATTTGAATTTTACTCGATATTTATGCATCTGAGAGCAAAAGTATAACAGAGCAACATTGTTAAGAACATAATTTATTACAACTTTTATACTAAAACTTTTTTTCTAAAACGTTCCAAATAGCAGCTCTACCAACAACAAGTTGTAAAACCACAATTTCATCTAGTTTTCACTTATTCGAATTTTTCTCGATATTTATGCATTTGAAAGCAAAATTATACAAATCAATATTGTTGAGAATAAATTTTGCTACAACTTTTATACTAAAACTGTTTTTCTAAAACAATACAATTTACTACAACTTTTGTAGAAAAACTTTTTTGCTAAAACGTTCCAAATCGCAGCTCCACCTATTTGAATTTTACTCGATATTTATGCATCTCAGAGCAAAAGTATAACAGAGCAACATTGTTAAGAACATAATTTATTACAACTTTTATACTAAAACTTTTTTTCTAAAACGTTCCAAATAGCAGCTCTACCAACAACAAGTTGTAAAACCACAATTTCATCTAGTTTTCACTTATTCGAATTTTTCTCGATATTTATGCATTTGAAAGCAAAATTATACAAATCAATATTGTTGAGAATAAATTTTGCTACAACTTTTATGCAAAAACTGTTTTTCTAAAACGATCCGAATCCCAGCTCTACCAACAAAAAGTGCAAATCCACGATTTCATCTAATTTTCACCTATTTGAATTTTACTCGATATTTATGCATCTGAGAGCAAAAGTATAAAAAAGCAATAGTGTTAAGAATACAATTTGCTACAACTTTTGTACTAAAACTTTTTTTCTAAAACATTCCAAATCGCAGCTCTACCAACAACAAGATGTAAAACCACGATTTGATCTAGTTTTCACTTATTTGATTTCTTTTCGATATTTATGCATCTGAAAGCAAAACTATACAAATCAATATTGTTGAGAATAAATTTTGCTACAACTTTTATGCAAAAACTGTTTTTCTAAAGCGGTCCGAAACCCAGCTCTACCAACAAAAAGGTGCAAAACCACGATTTCATCTAATTTTCACCTATTTGAATTTTACTCGATATTTATGCATCTGAGAGCAAAACTATAACCGACCAATATTGTTAAGAATACAATTTGCTACAACTTTTGTACTAAAACTTTTTTTCTAAAACATTCCAAATCGCAGCTCTACCAACAACAAGATGTAAAACCACGATTTGATCTAGTTTTCACTTATTTGATTTCTTTTCGATATTTATGCATCTGAAAGCAAAACTATACAAATCAATATTGTTGAGAATAAATTTTGCTACAACTTTTATGCAAAAACTGTTTTTCTAAAGCGGTCCGAAACCCAGCTCTACCAACAAAAAGGTGCAAAACCACGATTTCATCTAATTTTCACCTATTTGAATTTTACTCGATATTTATGCATCTGAGAGCAAAACTATAACCGACCAATATTGTTAAGAATACAATTTGCTACAACTTTTGTAATAAAATTTTTTTTCTAAAACGTTCCAAATCGCAGGTCTACCAACAACAAGATGTAAAACCACAATTTCATCTAGTTTTCACTTATTCGAATTTTTCTCGATATTTATGCATATGAAAGCAAAACTATACAAATCAATGTTGTTGAGAATAAATTTTTTTACAACTTTTATACTAAAACTTTTTATATAAAACGGTCCGAATCCCAACTCTACCAACAAAAACTGCAAAACCACGATTTCATCTACTTTTCACCTATTTGAATTTTAGTCGATATTTATGCATCTGAGAGCAAAAGTGTAAAATGCAATATTGTTAAGAATAGAATTTACTACAATATTTGCACTAAAACTTTTTTTCTAAAACGTTCTGAATCCCAGCTCTACCAACAACAAGATGTAAAATCTTGAAAGGTGTAAAATCATCTAATCTTCACCTATTTGAATTTTACTCAATATTTATGCATCTGAGAGCAAAACTATACAAATAAATATTGTTGAGAATAAAATTTGCTACAACTTTTATACTAAAACTTTTTTTCTAAAACGGTTCAAATCCCAGCTCTACCAACAAAAAGGTGCAAAACCACGAATTCATCTAATTTTTACCTATTTGAATTTTACTCGATATTTATGCATCTGAGAGCAAAACTATACAAATAAATATTGTTGAGAATAAAATTTGCTACAACTTTTATACTAAAACTTTTTTTCTAAAACGGTTCAAATCCCAGCTCTACCAACAAAAAGGTGCAAAACCACGAATTCATCTAATTTTTACCTATTTGAATTTTACTCGATATTTATGCATCTGAGAGCAAAACTATACAAATAAATATTGTTGAGAATAAAATTTGCCACAACTTTTATACTAAAACTTTTTTTCTAAAACGGTTCAAATCCCAGCTCTACCAACAAAAAGGTGCAAAACCACGAATTCATCTAATTTTTACCTATTTGAATTTTACTCGATATTTATGCATCTGAGAGCAAAACTATACAAATCAATATTGTTGAGAATAAAATTTGTCACAACTGTTATACTAAAACTTTTTTTCGAAAACGGTCCGAATCCCAGCTCTACCAACAAAAAGCTGCAAAACCACGATTTCATCTAATTTTCACCTATTTGAATTTTACTCAATATTGATGCATCTGAGAGGAAATGTGTAAAAGAACAATATTGTTAAGAATAAACTTTGCTATATATAGACACATAGATCTTAATAATCGAGTTATGACTCCTTAAATACGTCATTTTAATGTTATTTTCCTGTACTTTAGCAACATTTTGGATTGAAGTGATCAATTTTAAATACTTACTCTTGTTATCTTTTAATTGTATTTTTAAGATCGTATCTTATAGATAACTGTGTCTGTATTTATACTTTTATTCCTTGAAATTAATGATTAAAAATTAAATTTTAATTTGTTATAATTTTATTGTAGCTGTTGGAGATGTTTCTGAAGTCACCACGACAGTAAAAGCAACCGAATCAGATGAGGTGTACCAAATCACTTGGGATGAACCGGCAGGATATGAATATTGCACCGTTACATACGTTGTATCGTTGAACGACGTAGCCAAAGATCTAGATGATGATAAGCTATCGATCGATATTCCAATTGATGAATTGGTTACTTGCAATAACAAGGTTACAGTTGTGCCAATGATTGAAACTAATGTCGCTAAAGAATCGGAAGTAACCATTTCGAAAGGTTGATTAAAAAAAATTAATTTTTTATTAAATGATTAATTATTCATTTTGTAGACGTGGGAGATGTGTCAACCGTTGAAGTAACCGATTTAGAAGAAGTCCTCAACGAGAACATTTGGACAATTAGCTGGACGAAACCAAGTGGTTACGATAATTGCGATGTTGAATACATCGTAAAAATTGGCGATGGTGAAGAAAAAACAGTAACAGATGTCTCCACGACGATCTCTAATGATGATTTGAAAAAATGTGAAAACACCGATGTTGTTGTAACTCCGATTATCCAAAAAAACAGTGGGAAAGCAACAACACAACAATTCACCGCTGGTATTTTACTTTTTTATTTTTTAAAAACTAAAACTATACCTTCAATTTAATTAACTAAAATTTTTATCTACGAGGTTAAATGAGACTCATTAGATTGATAACATAGATAATTATCAGTGTATGAAAAAATCGCAGAAAGTAAAAGTTGAATTTTAAGAGTTATATGTCAAGAACAAAATGAGATATGATGATGAAATAAGAAACATTTTAAAGCATCTTTAAAACAGAAAACGTGTACCAAAAATTAGTTCTTGTTTTGCATAAACATGTTTGTTCTGATTTTTTAAACAAAACTGTATATACTTCATTGCTTTTAAAGCAGAAATTCAAAAAATCGTATCTTAAGAACGAGTTGAGATATAATGATGAGACAACGATCATTTTAAAGCAAATTTAATAAAGATTAATTGTGCCATGAACAATTTCTTAATTTCCATAAACATCGTTGTTATGATTTTTAAAATCAAGGTCTGTATTTGGATTAAGAAGCAAAAACTGAAAACATCATATCTCAAGAACGACTTAAGATATTCTGATGAAATAGTAAATATATTGCAATAAATTTAATAGAGATTAATTGTGTTATGAATGATTTCTTAATTCCCATTAACATAGTTGTTATGATTTTTTAAAACAAACTATGCTTATTTGATTGCTATATAGGTATTTAAAGCAGATATTTAGAAAATCGTATCTTAAGAACGAATTGAGATATGATGATGAGACAACGATCATTTTAAAGCAAATTTAAGAAAGATTAATAAAATTGTGCCATGAACAATTTCTTAATTTCCATAAACATCGTTGTTATGATTTTTAAAATCAAGATCTGTATTTGGTTTAAGAAGCAGAAACTTAAAACATCATATCTCAAGAACGACTTAAGATATTCTGATGAAATAGTAAACATTTTGCAGTAAATTTAATAGAGATTAATTGTGTTATGAATAATTTTTTAATTCCCATTAACATAGTGGTTATGATTTTTTAAAACAAACTATGCTTATTTGATTGCTATAGGCATTTAAAGCAGAAATTCAAAAAATCGTATCTTAAGAACGAGTTGAGATATAATGATGAGACAACGATCATTTTAAAGCAAATTTAATAAAGATTAATTGTGCCATGAACAATTTCTTAATTTCCATAAACATCGTTGCTATGATTTTTAAAATCAAGGTCTGTATTTGGATTAAGAAGCAAAAACTGAAAACATCATATCTCAAGAACGATTTAAGATATTCTGATGAAATAGTAAACGTTTTGCAGTAAATTTAATAGAGATTAATTGTGTTATGAATGATTTCTTAATTCCCATTAACATAGTTGTTATGATTTTTTAAAACAAACTATGCTTATTTGATTGCTATATAGGTATTTAAAGCAGATATTTAGAAAATCGTATCTTAAGAACGAATTGAGATATGATGATGAAACAACAATCATTTTAAACCAAATTTAATAAAGATTAATTGTGCCATGAACAATTTCTTAATTTCCATAAACATCGTTGTTATGATTTTTAAAATCAAGGTCTGTATTTGGTTTAAGAAGCAGAAACTTAAAACATCATATCTCAAGAACGACTTAAGATATTCTGATGAAATAGTAAACATTTTGCAGTAAATGTAATAGAGATTAATTGTGTTATGAATGATTTCTTAATTCCCATTAACATAGTTGTTATGATTTTTTAAAATAAACTATGCTTATTTGATTGTTATAGGCATTTAAAGCAGATATTTAAAAAATCGTATCTTAAGAACGAATTGAGATATAATGATGAAACAACAATCATTTTAAACCAAATTTANCCCATTAACATAGTTGTTATGATTTTTTAAAACAAACTATGCTTATTTGATTGCTATAGGCATTTAAAGCAGAAATTCAAAAAATCGTATCTTAAGAACGAGTTGAGATATAATGATGAAACAACAATCATTTTAAACCAAATTTAATAAAGAATATGAAAAATTTCTTAATTCCCATAAATATCACTGTTATGATTTTTTAAAGCAAACTTTGTTTATATAATTGTTGTTCGGTTTTTAAAGTAGATATTAAAAAGTCGTATCTTAAGAACAAATTGAGATGTGGTCATGAAATAAGGAATATTTTGTAGCAAATTTAATACAGATTTAGTGTACCTACCACAAATAATTTAAATAAATTAATAATAATTTAAAACAAATTAGATTCTCGACGAATTATAAGCTTTTCAATGAAAAAGAACGTTTTTTAAAATATCTTTTGTGTCTGGAGATATCGATTCTTAAACACAAATGCGTTTTATTCTCATTTCTATTGATTTTGGATCATCTAATAAATCGCAATAAATCGAGGCAATCATNCTTATTTGATTGTTATAGGCATTTAAAGCAGATATTTAAAAAATCGTATCTTAAGAACGAATTGAGATATAATGATGAAACAACAATCATTTTAAACCAAATTTAATAAAGAATATGAATAATTTCTTAATTCCCATAAATATCGCTGCTATGATTTTTTAAAGCAAACTTTGTTTATATAATTGTTGTTCGGTTTTTAAAGTATATATATTAAAAAGTCGTATTGAGATATGGTCATGAAATAAGAAATATTTTGTAGCAAATTTAATACAGATTTAGTGTACCTACCACAAATAATTTCTTGTTTTCCAACCCAAATCTAATTTATTCTCATTTCTATGTATTAGCTTCAATCGTCTTTAAAAAATCGTAACAAATTAGATTTTCGACGACAAATTATAAGCTTTTCAATGAAAAAGAACGTTTTTTAAAATATCTTTTGTGTCTGGAGATATCGATTCTTAAACACAAATCCGTTTTATTCTCATTTCTATTGATTTTGGATCATCTAATAAATCGCAATAAATCGAGGCAATCATGCTGCCGAGGCAATGGCTTAAATATTACAAAGCAATAAGTAAAGGTATCTTTATATCATTAATATATTATCAGATTACGAGGCAGCTTTGTTGCCGAGGCAGTGATTCAAGAGTTACCAAGTAACAAGAAAAGCTTTCTTTACATAATAACTCTGTCATTGTTGCAGATATTGGAGATGTATCCTCTGTAACAGTATCCAATCTAGATGGGACACTTAATACCGATAAGACATGGACAATTAGCTGGGAAAAACCAACCGGTTATGATAACTGTGGTATCAAATACATCCTACAAATTAATGATGGGGAAGGCGAAACTGTAAACGATACCCCCGCGACGATTTCTAATGATGATTTGAAAAAATGTGAAGGGAACGATATCACCGTTACCCCGGTTATACAAGAAATAAATGGAGCAGCAACAACTATTCAAATTAACGCCGGTATTTTCATTACAATTAAAAAAAAATTTTATTTATTAATATATAAATTCTTGTAGATGGTGGTATTTCAGAAGCTATAGTTACCGATATAACATCAACATATAATGAAGCCGATTCAACTTGGACTATCACTTGGACAGCACCAACTGGTTACGAAACATGTTCCCCAACATATTTACTTTACATAGATGGAACTCCCGAAGAAACTGCAGTTTCAGACACCTCAATCATAATTCCTAACACTAAGTTTATTCCATGCCAAATTAGTCAAATTGAAATTGAACCTATATTTGAAACTACAAGTGGCAATGAAGCTGGCCAAAAAGCATCTGGAACCATAGAAGGAGGTATGTTTCAACCTTAAATAACTTAACTTTACAATTAAAAGTATGAGTCATTAGTTTGATTGACTATTACAAAGCAATAAGTGAAGGAGTCTTTATAGCATTAATACATTATCATATTCAGAGGCAGCACTGTTATCGAGGCAGTGGTTCAAGAGTTACCAAGTAACAAGAAAAGCTTTCTTTACGTAATAACTCTGTCATTGTTGCAGATATTGGAGATGTATCCTCTGTAACAGTATCTAATCTAGAAGGGACACCTAATAACGACAAGACATGGACAATTAGCTGGGAAAAACCAACCGGTTATGATAACTGTGGTATCAAATACACCCTAAAAATTAATGATGGCGAAGGCGAAACTGTAAACGATACCCCCGCGACGATTTCTAATGATGATTTGAAAAAATGTGAAGGAACGATATCACCGTTACCCCGGTTATACAAGAAAAAAATGGAGAAGCAACAACTATTCAAATTACCGCCGGTATTTTCATTACAATTAAAAAAAAATTCTTATTTATTAATATATAAATTCTTGTAGATGGTGGTGTTTCAGAAGCTATAGTTACCGATATAACATCAACATATAATGAAGCCGATTCAACTTGGACTATCACTTGGACAGCACCAACTGGTTACGAAACATGTTCCCCAACATATTTACTTTACATAGATGGAACTCCCGAAGAAACAGCAGTTTCAGACACCTCAATCATAATTCCTAACACTAAGTTTACTCCATGCAAAGTTAGTCAAATTGAAATTGAACCTATATTTGAAACTGCAACTGGCAATGAAGCTGGCCAAAAAGCATCTGGAACCATAGAAGGAGGTATGTTTCAACCTCAAATAACTTAACTTTACAATTAAAAGTATGAGTCATTAGTTTGATTGACTATTACAAAGCAATAAGTAAAGGAGTCTTTATAGCATTAATATATTATCATATTCAGAAGCAGCTTTGTTACCGAGGCAGTGGTTCAAGATTTACCTAGTAACAAGAAAAGTTTTCTTTACATAATAACTCTGTCATTGTTACAGATATTGGAAATGTATCCTCTGTAACAGTATCCAATCTAGAAGGGACACTTAATAACGATAAGACATGGACAATTAGTTGGGAAAAACCAACCGGTTATGATAACTGTGGTATCAAATACACCCTAAAAATTAATGATGGCGAAGCCGAAACTGTAAACGATACCCCCGCGACGATTTCTAATGATGTTTTGAAAAAATGTGAAGAGAACGATATCGCCGTTACCCCGGTTATACAAGAAAAAAATGGAGAAGCAACAACCATTCAAATTACCGGCGGTATTTTCATTACAATTTAAAAAAAATCTTATTTATTAATATATAAATTGTTGTAGATGGTGGTGTTTCAGAAGCTATAGTTACCGATATAACATCAACATATAATGAAGCCGATTTAACTTGGACTATCACTTGGACAGCACCAACTGGTTACGAAACATGTTCCCCAACATATTTACTTTACATAGATGGAACTCCCGAAGAAACAGCAGTTTCAGACACCTCAATCATAATTCCTAACACTAAGTTTACTCCATGCAAAGTTAGTCAAATTGAAATTGAACCTATATTTGAAACTGCAACTGGCAATGAAGCTGGCCAAAAAGCATCTGGAACCATAGAAGGAGGTATGTTTCAACCTCAAATAACTTAACTTTACAATTAAAAGTATGAGTCATTAGTTTGATTGACTATTACAAAGCAATAACTAAAGGAGTCTTTATAGCATTAATATATTATCATATTCAGAGGCAACTCTGTTATCGAGGCAGTGGTTCAAGATTTACCTAGTAACAAGAAAAGTTTTCTTTACATAATAACTCTGTCATTGTTACAGATATTGGAAATGTATCCTCTGTAACAGTATCCAATCTAGAAGGGACACTTAATAACGACAAGACATGGACAATTAGCTGGGAAAAACCAACCGGTTATGATAACTGTGGTATCAAATACACCCTAAAAATTAATGATGGCGAAGGCGAAACTGTAAACGATACCCCCGCGACGATTTCTAATGATGATTTGAAAAAATGTGAAGTGAACGATATCACCGTTACCCCGGTTATACAAGAAAAAAATGGAGAAGCAACAACCATTCAAATTACCGCCGGTATTTTCATTACAATTAAAAAAAATTCTTATTTGTTAATATATAAATTCTTGCAGATGGTGGTGTTTCAGAAGCTATAGTTACCGATATAACATCAACATATAATGAAGCCGATTCAACTTGGACTATCACTTGGACAGCACCAACTGGTTACGAAACATGTTCCCCAACATATTTACTTTACATAGATGGAACTCCCGAAGAAACAGCAGTTTCAGACACCTCAATCATAATTTCTAACACTAAGTTTACTCCATGCAAAGTTAGTCAAATTGAAATTGAACCTATATTTGAAACTGAAACTGGCAATGAAGCTGGCCAAAAAGCATCTGGAACCATAGAAGGAGGTATGTTTCAACCTCAAATAACTTAACTTTACAATTAAAAGTATGATTCATTAGTTTGATTGACTATTACAAAGCAATAACTAAAGGAATCTTTATAGCATTAATATATTATCATATTCAGAGGCAACTCTGTTATCGAGGCAGTGGTTCAAGATTTACCTAGTAACAAGAAAAGTTTTCTTTACATAATAACTCTGTCATTGTTACAGATATTGGAAATGTATCCTCTGTAACAGTATCCAATCTAGAAGGGACACTTAATAACGACAAGACATGGACAATTAGCTGGGAAAAACCAACCGGTTATGATAACTGTGGTATCAAATACACCCTAAAAATTAATGATGGCGAAGGCGAAACTGTAAACGATACCCCCGCGACGATTTCTAATGATGATTTGAAAAAATGTGAAGTGAACGATATCACCGTTACCCCGGTTATACAAGAAAAAAATGGAGAAGCAACAACCATTCAAATTACCGCCGGTATTTTCATTACAATTAAAAAAAATTCTTATTTGTTAATATATAAATTCTTGCAGATGGTGGTGTTTCAGAAGCTATAGTTACCGATATAACATCAACATATAATGAAGCCGATTCAACTTGGACTATCACTTGGACAGCACCAACTGGTTACGAAACATGTTCCCCAACATATTTGCTTTACATAGATGGAACTCCCGAAGAAACTCCAGTTTCAGACACCACAATCATAATTCCTAACAATAAGTTTGTTCCATGCAAAGTTAGTCAAATTGAAATTGAACCTGTATTTGAAACTGCAACTGGCAATGAAGTTGGCCAAAAAGCATCTGGAACCATAGAAGGAGGTATGTTTCAACCTCAAATAACTTAACTTTACAATTAAAAGTATGAATCATTAGTTTGATTGACTATTACAAAGCAATAACTAAAGGAGTCTTTATAGCATTAATATATTATCATATTCAGAGGCAACTCTGTTATCGAGGCAATGGTTCAAGATTTACCTAGTAACAAGAAAAGTTTTCTTTACATAATAACTCTGTCATTGTTACAGATATTGGAAATGTATCCTCTGTAAAAGTAGCCAATCTAAAAGGGACACTTAATAACGATAAGACATGGACAATTAGTTGGGAAAAACCAACCGGTTATGATAACTGTGGTATCAAATACACCCTAAAAATTAATGATGGCGAAGGCGAAACTGTAAACGATACCCCCACGATGATTTCTAATGATGATTTGAAAAAATGTGAAGAGAACGATATCACCGTTACCCCGGTTATACAAGAAAAAAATGGGGAAGCAACAACCATTCAAATTACCGGCGGTATTTTCATTACAATTAAAAAAAAATCTTATTTATTAATATATAAATTCTTGTAGATGGTGGTGTTTCAGAAGCTATAGTTACCGATATAACATCAACATATAATGAAGCCGATTCAACTTGGACTATCACTTGGACAGCACCAACTGGTTACGAAACATGTTCCCCAACATATTTACTTTACATAGATGGAACTCCCGAAGAAACAGCAGTTTCAGACACCACAATCACAATTCCTAACAATAAGTTTAATCCATGCAAAGTTAGTCAAATTGAAATTGAACCTATATTTGAAACTGGAACTGGCAATGAAGCTGGCCAAAAAGCGTCTGGAACCATAAAAGGAGGTATGTTTCAACCTTAAATAACTTAACTTCACAATTAAAAGTATTAGTCATCAGTTTGATTCATGCCAATCAGTATTTCCAAATTATAATTTTAGATGATTCTGGAAAACATCTAAACACAAAGTTGATTTTGGCTTTTGCCAAAATTTTACAATTTCGAAAGATTCTTTAATGTTATTAAATCGTTGTGCCATTTTGAAATAATCTTAAGGTGTTTTCAATCGATTAGAACCATTTTGACACTTACCAATACGGTTTTTCCATGACGCAAGTAAACACCTCAATGACAATTCCCAAGTCTGCCTCTTGTTTATTTAGCAAAATTTACACATGTTATATCATTTTGCCTTTAATGGCAACATTCTCGTCTGCTCGCTGCAGCATTTTATGGAAATGAGGAATTTCGAGACTTTCTTCCATTTATTTCCGTATTCCTATTGTTAGAAATATGGTAACTAGATACAAAGATGATGCAAATTTTATCTAGTTTATCTAGACACATGTTGTATTGCTACTCCCACTAGCGATCTCAGCTAAACTTAACACGCAAAATCTATTACTTTGTCTGAAATCGTCTTTTATGCTAAATTGAAGAGCATATATTGTAGAGCCTTGATTGCAAGCGACCTCGGCGAAACTTTGGCAAATTAGCATCATCTCTGTCCAAAATTGTATTACTGCAGTGTCTCTTATATAAACGATTCATGCTAAGACTTGGGCTAAATTCAGGATTAGATTGTGTTTGGTATCAAATTAAAGCATTTTAAATGTTACAGATATCGGGAATGTTTCTGAAGTTAAAGTTAGCGATGTAACGACTTCATATAATAATGCAGAATTAACTTGGACTATCACTTGGACGGAACCAGCCGATTACGAAGAGTGCTCACCAAAATATTTAGTGTACATAGGTGACGCCCCTCAAGAACCTGCAGTATCAGGCAAAGAAGCCTCAATTCCCAACGCTGAATTAGTTCAATGCGCAGATAATCAAATTCATATCGAACCTGTTTTTGAAATTGACGGTGAAGATAAACGTGGTGAAAAAGTGACGGAGACAATAAGAGGAAGTGAGTTTCTTTAAATTTTTTATTTCAAATAAATTAATGATAAATTTTAGCTGTTAGCGATGTTTCTACTGTTGCCGTTCAAAATATTAAACCAGTTCTTGATGGTGATACTTGGACTATTTCTTGGGACAAACCCGCTGATTATGATCAATGCAACATTAAATACGTTATATATTTCGACACGGAACAGTTAGGTGAAGAAGTCCTCATTGAAGAAACCACCATTAAGAATGCAATGTTAACAACTTGTGTTAACAATAACATTGGGGTTCAACCAAGAATTGAAACTGAACTCGGTTTTAAAGATGTTACCGTGATAAAAGGAGGTAAATCGATTGTTTTGGATTACTTTAGATATTAAATAATTGCCTTTTTTTGATTTTAGAACCTCCACTTGACGGAAGAATAACCGCCGAATCTTTTGAGGTAAAACCAGGAGGTGTTATGGATGTCACATGGAAGAAAGCCGATCAGTATCAAGCGTGCACCTTTAAATACAACATTAATATCAAAAAAGGTGATGAAACTCTATTTGAGGACAGCATTGATGAGGAGGCTTATCAAAACACGAATGAAGAAGTAACAAATTGCGAAGGTGTAACAGCTACAGTATCGGCTACAATGAGTGTTGAAGGAGAAGCTGTTTCGTTTGAGTGCAAATCTGAATCGGCACTATTTTTCCTACGCCCTAAATAATTTAGTTCTAAATTAATTTTTATCCATGTATATTTCGTTTCAATTTATTAAATTTAAATTATTTATTTAGATTTATTAATTAAAAATTAATCATTAAATGTCTTTGTTTTATTTCCTTATAAGAAAAATCACTAGAAATTTATAGATAACTATGAAATAAGTGTGGATTATTATTTATTTCTTTTACTTTTTGTAATGTAAAAAGTAAAAGAAACACATAGTGGGCAAGGAAAGCATATTAAATATTATTGAATTAATAACAAGGTAACAAAGAGGAGAAGAATTAAGTAATCAAGAAGATAACAGCTTGAATAACAAACAAATATGTTTTTTAAAAATATGTTTAATGACGTTGCTCCTGAGGATGATTGAATGTACGATCGAAACCGGTAGAGAAAATTAAAAAATCCATCTATAAATACACAGTTTTATTTCAATTATATTATTATTTATTGATGCATAAGGAATATTTTTTATTTATATAACGTCTTTCTTCCTCAGTTTTAGTACTTCCGTTAGAGTTGATTTTATTAAGAAAAATCGTCAATTTTGATATTTTGTAATTTATTCTGTATCACTAGAAACTGGTGATAGACAAATATGAAATAATTATGGATTATGATTAGGGGTCGGATTTTATACAAAATGCATCTTTGGAATGTTGGAATATTTTTTTTTAAATTGGTTTCTAGGCGAATTACATAAAAATAAATAAATTAAAAAACAGCACTTGAACGATTTGAACGATGACATTTATTTGTAATATGTTTTACAAATATATGTAAAACATATTCCAAGAAGATGAGACATCAAATTTAATATAATTTTATTTAGTTTTAATTTAACAGTTTTCCATTTGTTTTAACTCCTAGTGTAAAAATCTATGAGAAGTATAATTTCGGAACAAATTATTGGCAACTTCTCTGAAAACCCTAATTTTTAACTTACATCGTTGGCTAAACCGCTACGACATAATTTTTAAAAAAATACCTACAACTTTGGCACAAGTTTACAAAATAATTCCTCATTATTTAAATTTAGTTCGGGATAACTTTTTATCCACTGGGACACAAAACACGATATCACTTTAGGTATTGTTGTTATAGATTGGTAGATTAATGTTCACTCACACTGAACACTGCCACAGTAACTATGGTTGGAGATTTCCTTAAACTTAAACTCAACAGCGCTAGGGATTCCCCGCATGTTTCTGTGAATCGTTGTAAACAAGAAACCAACCCGCAATCAAAAAATATCCTGTATTGTGCCTTAAACTAAAAGGTATGTTCGCATATTTAACAATATTAACATATAACTCCTGTCCAAGTTTTGTTTATTATTTTGCAAAAAATTTCTGTTTTTCAATGTATTTCTGTAATAATTTTTTATTTGTTGTATTGACGGTTAAAATTTATAATATTTTTGCATTTTATGTACAATTCCTCACACGATTTATACCCTGGAATTTGATTTCATTTTGAAAATGTTTCCGATAGACATTGATACTGTTTTGTATTCATTTTGTCAATTTTCAAGAATTCAATTTATGTTGTTTGAATGATTAGAGATTTTTTAAATATTGAATTTTTCGCGCCATCGTTCCAGAACGTCAATTGTGTATTTTTGTTCAAGTGCTGCCAACAGATTTTTAGTTTAATTTCCAACTTTGCAACTGGAAATATTACCTCAAATCACATATTTGCGCGCCTAAAAGTTTTCACAGTTCATCATTTCTAAGTTAAGTTATATTAATAGTTTTTTGTGAAGGAACCTTCATATTGTAATCCGATGAGCTCCTGTTTTATTTTATGTTCGTTGACGTAAGTTATCTGTATTAATTTTTATATTTCTTCATATTTTAAGATAGACATGAATAAGCACACGTTTCTTTTACAATACTTAAAGATAATAATGTAATCCTTGTTTTATACAGGTCGTTTTCCTGAGGATGACTGTTGCACAGTCGAAACCGGTAGAAAACTAAGCTTTTTACAATAAATGTCATCGTTCAAGTGCTGTTTTTTAGTTTATTTAATTCACACGATGATAAGAAAAATATACAACTGCAAACATAAAAATAAGGCAGATAGTACAATAAACAAAATTGCATATTTTTACAATTTTTTTGATTGTTGCATAAATTGGCTTTTTACTGCATATTACTAGATTTGTTTCTTGTTGCTTAATAAAATAAATATAATGACTGCGTAATTTTTAAATATGCGAACATACCTTTTAGTTTAAGGCATAATACAGGATATTTTTTGATTGCGGGTTGGTTTCTTGTTTACAACGATTCACAGAAACATGCGGGGAATCCATAGCGCTGTTGAGTTTAAGTTTATATAACAACAATACCTAAAGTGATATCGTGTCTTGTGTCCCAGTGGATAAAAAGTTATCCCGAACTAAATTTAAATAATGAGGAATTATTTTGTGAAACTTGTGCCAAAGTTGTAGGTATTTTTTTAAAAATTATGTCGTAGCGTTTTAGCCAAAGATTTAAGTTAAAAATTAGGGTTTTCAGAGAAGTTGCCAATGGTTTGTTCCGAAATTATACTTCTCATAGACTTTTACACTAGGAGTTAAAACAAATGGAAAACTGTTAAATTAAAACTAAATAAAACTATATTAAATTTGATGTCCCATCTTCTTGGAATATGTTTTACATATGTTTCTAGACAATCGACAATGAAAAATACGAATCTCTTTATAGTCTCAGAATTGAATTTTCATCTGTTAGAGTATCTATGGCTAACTTTTTAATTATTCTTTTTTAAATTAACGTGTGACAGGAAGAAAATAAATAGAACAACATGTGAAAAGTGCAAAACATTTACAAAAATGTGATAGAAATAGATTAATAACAACTATAAGAAAAGTATATGTTTGCATATTTCCACATATTTTTGCATATTTTGAATAAAAAGCTTGCATATTTATACGCATATTTCCTATAATTTGACTGCATAAAAATCCGAGCTCCAATTATGATTTCTTGATGCATTAGGAATATTTTTTATTCATAACGTCTTTCTCTATCAATTTTAGTACTTACATTATAGTTGATTTTATTAAGAAAAATCGTCCAATTGTGACGTTTTATGATTTATGCTATATCACTAGAAACTAGTGATAGATAAATATGATACAATTATAGATTATGATTTCTTGATTCATTAGGAATAATTCTTATTCATAATGTCTTTCTCCATCAGTTTAGTACTTAAGTTATAAATGATTTTGTTAAGAAAAAACGTCCAATTTTGACATTTTGTGAGTTATGCCACATGACTTGAAACAAATGATAGATAAATATTAAATGATTGTGCATTATGATTTTTTGATGTATTAGGAACAAGTTTTATTCATAATGTTTTTCTCCATCAATTTTACTACTTAAGTTATAACTGATTTTATTAAGAGAAAACGCCCAATATTGACATTTTGTGATTTATTCCACATCACCAGAAACTGGTGATAAAGAAATATGAAATAATTATGGATTATAATTTCTTGATGCAGTACGAATAATTTTTCTTCACAATGTCTATCTCCATCAGTTTTAGTAGTTAAGTTATAACTGATTTTGTTAAGAAAAAAACGTCCAATTTTGACACTTTGTGATTTTTGCTATATCACTAAAAAGTAGTGATAGATAAATATGAAATGTGTATGGATTATAATTTCTTGGTGCATTTGCAATAATTTTTATTCATAATGTCTTTCTCTATCACTTTTAGTACTTAAGTTATAACGGATTTTCTTAAGAAAAACGTCCAATTTTGATATTTTGTAATTTATGCCACATCACTAGAAACTAGTGATAGATAAATATGAAATAGTTATAGATTATGATTTCTTGATGCATTAGGAATAATTTTTATTCATAATGTCTTTCTCCATCAGTATTAGTACTTAAGTTATAACTGATTTTATTAAGACAGATCGTCCAATTTTGACATTTTGTGATTTATGCCACATCACTAGAAACTAATGATAGATAAATATGAAATAATTATGGGTTATGGTTTCTTGATGCATTAGGAATAATTTTTATTCATAATGTCTTTCTTCATCAGTTTTAGTCCTTATGTTATATTTGATTTTATTAAAAAAAATTTCCAATTTTGACATTTTGTGATTCATGCCACATCACAAGAAAATAGTGATAAATACATACGAAATAATTCTGGATTATGATTTCTTGATACATTAGGAATACTTTTTGTTCATAATGTCTTTCTCCATTAGTTTTAGAACCTATGTTACAGTTGATTTTATTAAGAAAAATCATCCAATTTTGACATTTTGTGATTTATGCTACCTCACTAGAAAATAGTGATAGATCAATATGGAACAAGTGTGGATTATGATTTCTTGATGCATTTGGAATAATTTTTATTTATAACGTTTTTCTCCAACACTTTTAAAACTTAAGTTATAGCGCAGTGTCTAAAGAAAAAACGTACAATTTTAACATTTTGCGATTTATGCCACATCCCTTATTAAATTTTTGGAATTATAAATTACATGAAGAATGAAAAAGACAAAATGTTGCGAAGAACATTTCTCAAAGAAAATAAAGCAGAAGTCTTAAATTAGCAGAAGAACAATTGAATTTTAGAAGAACCATTGAAACTATTCCTATACTTCTAAAGAGAAGATTAATTGATGTCACTCCTGCAAATACGGACCCAAAATTATAGACTTGCATGATAAAATAACAAAATAACAAGAAACACACTACAACGACAAATGAAATGACAAACTAAAAATAAATTTATGTAACAAGACTGGAATAAAAGAGAAGGAGTGAAATCAACGAAGATAGCTGAAAAGTGGTTTGCGCTAGAATTCGATTTGATCATTTATAATGTCTATTTTTGGGTTTTTATAGTTTCTCAAAATTTTATAATATTCAAGTAGATCCATTTTATGACCCTTATTGCAACGATGTAAAAGTTTAACTTCTTTAAAATTGATCTTATGACAGGTTTCAACTTGATGTTTGAATATATTAGAATTTGGTTTTTGTTGGTGTTCCCTAAGTCTGGTTTGTAGT